TGCCGCCGCAATTCCCAATCCCCCTCTCAATATCTCGCCGTCGGCAAGTTGAATTCTCCCTCTTCCCTCTCGAAATGTGGCGCGGAATGTGGTCAGCGGGCCGCGGCACCGATGGTGGCGACGACCTCGAGCCAAGGCGGTGCGTCGCCGCCGACGCCGCGGTGAAAAGGGCTACGAGATGGTACACCAACCAAGGGCTCTCACCACCGTCGTCGCTCCTCCGCCGCGATACGGATGAGTACGGCCGCAGGGAGTCGCTCCTCCGCCGCGAGCAACTCCTCCGTCGGTGCCTCGAGATGGCGGACGCCGCTCATGCTGGTCAAGAGGGAGCCGTAGGAGCTCCCGCTGCTCTGCGTGGTGAAATGGAGCCGTAGCCGGAGCGGTGGGGCGGTGGCGTCAGCGGGCCTGAGGATATCCTCCCTTCGGCGAGGGCGGATGTCTTCGAGGCCGCCATCGTCGCAGGCAGTGCGCGGGAGGAGGAAGAGGCGGAGAGGTTGTCAGAATCGCGATTCTGTTATACGATTCTACGACTTTACGATCCAAACTAATCCCTCTGATTCTACGATTTTACTTCATAGAATCTACGTTTCTATGATCCTGATATCGAAGATTCTACGATTTACGATCCTACCATCGGAGCTCCGATCCGATTCAAAATCACGATTTTGACAACCTTGGGAGCAGCGCCCGCGACGGCAAGCAGACCACGACAACATCCTCCTCGAGCAGGGGCTCGCTAAGGTGCAGGAGTTCGACGAGAACTTGGCAGCATGGCGCTGCAAAGCCAAGCCGCAGGACGACATCTACATCGACCTCGGCTCCGACGACGAGGACTGTGCTCCTCCGCCACTGCACCCGGATGGCTCTGGTGAGGCAAATTTTGGCATTAGGGTTGGGTGGCTGTTGCACCTCTGATCTAGTATGTTAAACATCGACTATGTATGCCTTTTGTATGATGATCAAGTAACTATGAACGCTACTGGAGTTGTTCGATTTCTTGCGTGAAGTTTGATTTCAAAATTTACAGGTTCATTTTAAAGTTTTTGTTCTGACGCGGCTGTTTTCAGCCCGTATCCAAGCATGCCGCGAACTGTAAATGCATTTTTAAGAGCCACGATATAAAGGGTTTGCTAGAGATGCTCTTAGCAGTTGAATTCTTATATATGCTATTGTTTCTCTTATTTTTCATGACAAGATTCATGTTTTGACAGTGGTACGACGGTAAATCTTGGTAGTATTACATGATATATTCTCGTGGCTCTAAATTGTGCTAAGAGAATACAGGGGACCTCGTTGAAAAGGCCACAGGCTTGAATGCTCACGAGACTAGGCAAAAAAACAGAGCAAGCATCAAGCACGTGAAGGAAATATTTGATGCCATTTCTATAGATGTTAACCAACAACCTGATGGCGAAGGCCCAAAAGACGTTCCAAAAGATTCCCTAGGAACTCTCTGCAAGTGCATTCTTCTCATCATCTGTAAACCAATATTTGCACTGAGCTCTAATAAAGAAAACAATGTATTGATCTCCATGCCCACTTAGAGCATCTATAGCCGGACTTAAAAATTCTTAGTCCCTCAAACGCACGGAGACGTGGCCGGGCGCGTCCACGGGCACGTCTTAAATTAAATTTTAACAGTTGCTTCCGGACATCTCAAACTAGATTCTCAAATCTATACAAAGACATGCAAACTAAAATAAATCTACTTACTACGTCGATCACCTAGCTACTCCTTGTCGGAGATACTGACGATCTCCGTGCCCGGCTCCGGCAGCATGGGCGGCAGCTGCAGCTCCGCTCCGGCCTCCTCCGTCTCTATCTCCGCGTCGAGTTCAGTGAAGAGCGCGTCGGACGCTGCATGCTCCTGGCGAAGGAACGCCCGGTTGGCCTTCACATGTGCCTCATCTTGGATGGACTCCAGGATGGTCTGCTGCTCCGCCATCTTCTCTGGCTGGGCGACGGTGAACTCCGCCTCCGCCTGCTGCTCCAACAGCTCCGGCTCCTGCTGCTCCGCCTCCTCCACATCCATCAGAGTCATCTCCTCCTCCTCATCCTCCTCCGGCTCCGGCGAGTCCGGAGGAAGCCCGACAGCGATGCGGGCGACGCACGCGGCTTTTCTCGTCCGGTTCTCCTGCTGGATCTCGTAGCGGTGCTCCGTCATCAGCATTTGCCGTAGTAGGTGATCTTGCTCCGGACCATGGGGGAGCGCTGAATCTTGGGCAAAGCGCCAGAGCGGGGGAGGGAGGAGGTGGATGGGCTCGGACTGGCGGCGCGGAGAGGGGGGGAGGTGGATGAGTTAGGGTTGCGGGAGGCCGACCGGCTTAAATAGCCAGATTTGGTCTCGGGTAGCCAGCCGGAGCAGTGCCACACGGGTTTCACAGCGCGGCGTCCGTCGGACCGCCAGGTTTCCAGGCGTTTTCCTGTGGGACCCCGCCGTACGACCGACGTGGCGGGCGTGCCCGGGCGCCCCCATTTCCGCCCCATATTTGCGCTAGATATGAAGGGTGGTGATCAGCCTGGGCGTTTGAGGCCCATTTGAGGGGTCTGATTGGGTCGAAAAATCGTGACCGATCGGTGATCGCCGGTTTGGGGTGACTGGCTGTAGATGCTCGTAAGGCATATCCAACGCTGACCCTCAACCGCTTGCAATCGTCCGGACCATCCTGACATCCAACACGGCCCTGCATCGGTCCGCAAGGGGAACGCACATTCTCCTGCAAACGGGAGACAAACTAGGAGGCTTTGCGGGCGTCCGGACAGCAGCCACACCTGCTTATGACCACCCTGGCCCAGCCCCCCCCCTCCTTGCCAGTGCGTGTTCCCGCCCAACGTCAGGTGTCCGCATTCATGCCGCTGTAGAGTTGCCGCTCCGTTTTGGCGTCGGCCCAGTGCAGACATGATCTCTCACTGGCTCCGCCATTGAAGCGGCGCGTCGGCCGAGAACGCCGCTCGTGACACGTCCTCGGTGTTCGCACATGTTCAATACTCCCTCCATTTCATAATGTAGTGCGCCCACGCTTTCCAAGATCTAAGTTTGACCATAAATTTAACCAACGAGACCTACTACAGCGGGAGCAAAATTATACCATTGAATTTGTACCGCCGCAGTTGGTCTCGTTGGTATCGAATTCAATGGTATAATTTTTGCTTCCGCCGCAGTCGGTCTCGTTGGTTAGATTTATGGTCAAATTTAAATCTTCGAAAACGTGGTCAAATTTAAATCTTCGAAAACGCGGATGCACTACATTATGGAATGAATGAAGTAGGAGTATAATCTATCATGCTTCCCTGCCTATGACAAACATTGCCACAACATTGCTCCCTTTACCTGCATCCGCCATTGCGGACATCTTGCAGTGCCGACACCCGCCTGCGGATCTCCCAGGGCTTCGCCCGTGGTCTCTTGTAAGTTGTAACCGGAAGTGTTCAATCAAGCCCGATCCCGTGCCTTTTTCCGGTGAGATGCTGCTGCAGTGTCCATGGGAGTCCTCGCTCCCATATCGGTCGGTATCGAGGCTGCGCGACATAATTATGGTTGTTGCAGTCATTCAGATTACTGCCTATAGAGCTCTAGTATGGCTGAACCCTGAACCCTGAAACATGCGACCAGCTATTTCCTCGTCATAGAACACTACAAGTAAGTTGCTCAATAAGAGGTATGAACCTAACCTTTCGCATAGCAACCCTCAAAACAGATATATCATCTAAAGCCTTACCGTAAAAATGATCAATCGTAATAATGGTAGCAGGGTTATTTAAAACAACACGTAATGAAGAACTAAATCTTAAGGTACAACAATAGCAACGCTAGCAAGTGGTACAAATATAGAGGGGGGAAATACCAAGCATAGTGCGAAGGAATACATTTAACTTCTACAACAGCGATTGGCTTACAAGTGAAACGACTCAATATCATTTGAAAGAATCCCATTTCTTTCTTGGTTGGACTAACCCAAACGGTAATTTCCATCTTCCTGAATTGGGGACCAACTATGAAGAGGCGAGTCTCAGAGTAAATCCGGTAATCTTGAGTCGGTCTAGTAAGGAAAATTCCTTGTTTTGTGCTTGCCATTTGGCTTGTCTTCGGTAATAAGAAATACTAAGGGATGAAATTCATTGTAAAATCTGTTGGGCTGTTCGCATGGAAGGAGGCAAAATACTAATGCAGCGAAGATATTGAAGAACAGAAAGTGGTTCCTCTAGTGATTGGCTCGTCGTAATGCTTTGCACTGCACACAATAAAGAAGAACCTAACGTCGTTATTACATCTAATTGTATGCCGGCAGCAACAATTAGCCTGGAGAAGACTGAAGAAGAATAGTAAATAGGAGGCGATGGACCCAAAAAAAACTGACCGTACATGATGATGCTTAGCAGAGGATTTGGACATAACTGGCATTACTGTATTCCAATGGACACAATACTGAGCTTGCGGTTATGGCCTACCGCAGCATCTTCCCATCCACGTTTGATGTCACCGTCAACTTGAGAGTGGAGTCCGACTTCATTGAGGTTTTGGAGCTTTCGGATCTGGATGCCGGGAAGAGCACCTAGAGCAGGACAGAGCAAGTGGAGTGAAACAAGCTTCCTCAGATCTTGAATAATTATTTCCTCAAGACTTTGCATGCCCACGAGACATATCCGTTCCAGGCTTACGAATGCATCCTTGTCTTGTATGGCAAGCCCCACAAGATTGTTCTCAACCAGCTTCAGAAATTTCAGTTGGCATCTCAAATTACTGAGGCCGATTTGGATTGCAGCTCCACTAAGATTAGTCCACGAGAGGCACAGCTCCTGTAGACTAACCAGCCTTGCAGCAACTGGACGGAAGCGCGTCAGATTGCCGCGCAGTTTGAGTGATGTAAGCATGCCAGGATCTTCCAGGCAATCCAGGAAGGATTGCGAAGACCCGCTGAAGTCAACAGAGAGTGAGTAATCAACGTTGGGTGTACGGATTCGGTGACTGGTGAATACCTTGATGCCTTCCTTAAGACCAGTCAAGTCTGTAGACTCATTTGTCATGGAATCACACCACATCTTCACCTTCCGCAGCTTCCCCATATCACTCAACAGTTGTGGAAATCCCATGCCGTTGCCGATGACGATTCCTGCTAGAGTCTCCAGGACACTGTTGTCCCTCAAGAAGTCCTTTAGCTTTGACAATTCATCCTTGAGCTTCAACACCTTCTTTACCTTCTTTGCGCCCTTCTTCATCATGCTTGGATTTTCATCTGGGCAGTCCACTCTAGATAGCCGAAACTTGCCAAGGAGGTGTTTCAATCTGGGCAACTTGAGTAGATTTGAGGACACCGTCACTACCGCACTTGTACTCATATCGAGTGTCTCTAACTGCTGCAGCCGCCTTATTTCACTCGGAACTTCTTTAATACTGCTCCCGAGGCTCAGATATTTCAGCAGCAACAGATCGCATATTTTTAAGACGTGATTGGCAGTCACATCAGCGCACTCTTTAAGATCCAACACCCGCAGTAGCTTATGATTATCAAAATTCAAGATAGCTCCATATTGGGCACCCGCAGTTGGAAAGACCACCATAGTATGGAGACAATGTACATCTGGCACATTGAGTCCGCCGTTGGCAGCAGCCATGTAAGGATGGAGAGAAAACCGGCGAACATATGCTTCTTGAAAGGTCTCATTCTGACTTGGGCCACACAGCAAGGTGTTAAAATTATCGATCACGGCCCTGGCGCAAATGTGGTTGAACACCATACCTGGAGGTTGGCATCTCGTCACCTTTCCATTGTTGCTCTTCTTAATGGACTTGACAATATTCTGGCCGATGAGAATGTCCAAATGCTCGGCCGCCACTTCCTGAGGAAAACGGTACACATTCTCAGGCACCTTCTGTATGGCATGGACAAGTAGTCCTTCAGCCAGCCATCGCCTTATTACAGGATTCCTCCGAACATGATGATGAAGTGGGAACATGCTGAAATATAGCAACATGTCCTCGACAACAATCCTCTCATAGTCACTGCCAACAAAACATTGCATTCTTGCTACAGCTGCGTCACAAAGTGCAGAGCAGGTCTCTTTGTAAGACATCCCAGTGCCCACCTCTCCAACCAAAACCAGGCAAGATGTGATGCTATCTGGAACAAGCAGTGGTGGATCGTTATCACAGATGCAGGGTCTCACTGCTGACTGGATGTCCGTCGTCACGATGATTCTGCCGCCCACTCTGTTGGCCCAAGGGAAGGCACATATTTTATTGTACACCTCTTCTTTCGTGACATCATGAATTACAATCAAATACCTGTATAACACATAATTGACAAGAAATGAGGTAAATAAAACACAATCGATTCTCCTCTGCAGCCACAGGGTTATGAAAAATGGATGAAGTTGATACAATACCAGGAGAGTCCATGGTTCAAAAATAAAAAGAAATGAATAAGAGTATTAGTGGATTAGGAAGGTCACGAATAAGAGGACAACCCCCAATATGTTTTATTGCTTTGCCTGACTATCAGTGAGATGAATATCGCCTTTTAGGTTCTGAAATTAGTGGTTTTTTGCATTCATTTTAAGTTTCCCCAATAAGAACAGTTAGCCAAAATGTGCACACTCTGTTGAAAGCAGGGGAAAATGGACACTATTAGGCCCTGTTTGGAACAGAGGAAAAGCAGAGGAAATGGACACTCGGCTGAACTGAACATTGTTACTGAAAATGGGGGTAAAATTAGATATAGAACAGATTGGAGACACACCTTTCTTTGGTTAGCAGTGATCTGAGCTGATGATCGATGCCGGAGCTGGCGCCGGACCGGGATGCGACAGGCATCTCAGTGCCGAAAACCTTGAGAAGCAGTCCTTGGAGAAAACACAAGATGGAAAGGAGCCAGCTGAGGATGAGCATGCCCAGCCCAGGGCGCCGCTCAAGTTGCCTGAGTATCTCCGTCAGAACATCATCCACGGTTCTGCCCACCGCACTGACCCACGCCCGTTGACCAAATTGCCGACGGACTTCATTCTTCTCATAGACCCGCCTCGCAAGATCAGTGTTCTGGCCACCGAAGCCAATAGCGCAGATGACCTTGGCGTTCATCTCCGATTGGTTCTGTACGAGGGCAAGAAGATCTTCCTCTGCATCATTCGCCGTCGGATTTGGAGCAACTTTTCCGTTCCTCGGCTCCCCCTGGCCGGTATAACGGTGTAGCGTCTCGGATGAATCTTGTATTCTCTTCTTGAGGTCAGCGATCTCGTGGGCAAACTGTGTGGGAGAGGTCTTCTTGATCTGGAAGTTGTCGATGCAGTCTTGGATCTCATGCGCCAACTTTCTGAGTTGCAAGATCCAGGTTCTCCGCAAATCGCTGATTTCGTTGCCTCTCCAGCGAGAATCTCCGAAGGCAGCTTGCATAAACTCGAGCTCACTTTGAATGAATCGAACATCAGGCTCCAGCTGCTTGCATGTGTCACCTATCAGCTTAAACAGGTTCGGCAGGGTGGCCTTCAGCAAGGCGCCCACTATGGCAGCCTCCATCTCTCTTTCCTTGCTCGATGATACAACACTCCAATCTAGGTGGGAATGGTAGGGGGGAGGGGTGGGGGTTGACTTGGTTGATTTTGGGGACTTTTGATGTTAAGAGTTGGAGAGGACAGAGGAGGAAGAAACATTGGGGTAAAATTCAGATCGGTGTCTGTGCACTTTACATTTAGTCCCCATACTATCTCATAATTCTATAACACATAATACAGAAAATGAGGGAGCTCTCTTTTTTTTTAACAGAGGGAGGGCCGGGACTTGGAGTTTCTAATCTCAAGCTCAAATGCTCCTGGATTAACAGTAAATTAGAAAATAAAGTAGAAAAAAATCTGAATTATTTGTGGCAAACTTTAAGAAATTTTTGGAGTGCATGCAAAAATTCATCACGAAATCACATCGGTGCAAGGGCGATAAAAAAAATCAAAAATGATGCTGTGAAAATGTTACTCTCAAACGCATTTTAGATCTCTTTTTTGTGTTTTTTCTGCCACGACTTCCTCCAATGTGATTTCGTGATGAAAATTTGCATGCACTTCAAACATTTCTTAAATTTTGCCAAAAAATCAGAATTTCTTTGTATTCTTTTTATTTTACTGTTCACTTCGGGAGCATTTGAGCTCGAGAAAAAGAAGGATACCCCCGAAGTGGCTATTCATTGAACTTTCAGACACATTCTTACATCATGGATACAAAATTCATAGCTTACAAAGTTGCTCAGAGCGAGCAATACTGGGCATTGCATACCCCTATGAGATGAGGTAATACAGTATGTGGTAGGGGATACAGTAGATGTTTTTCCAGCGACTCTTCTGCACAGTTATGAGCAACACCATTCAAATTTCTTTTGATGTGGTCTATCTTTAAAATAAGAGACCTGAAAACTTTAAAATATTCTGCTATCTGTGAACGGATTTTCCAATGTCCCGGGTTTGAATATATGTCGCCCGCGGCAGCACCCACATTGGACTAGGGTTAGGGTTAGGGGTAGGCCAGGGCTAGGAAATATACACAATAGATCGTAGATCATATTCGTGTTCATGTTCATATATCTTGTTCATAGATCATAGAACGTATTCGTGTTCATACAACGTGTTCATAGATCGTATTCGTGTTCATATTGTGTTTGTAGATCATAATAGTGATCGTATTATTTGTTCATATTGAGTTCAATTTATAGAAATTTTTGTTGATATTCGTGTTCACAGATCGTATTATTGTGCACATTATTTGTTTTCATATTTACTTCAGTTTGTAGAATCTTTTTGTGTTCGCAGATCGTATTATCTGTTCATATTCGTGATCGTAAACCGTATTATTGTGTACATTATTTGTGTTCATGTTGAGTTTAATTTGTAAAAACTTTTTGTTACAGGGATTCATAACAAGCGTTAATGTTTTGGCGAAACGTTGATTTATTTTCGTTTCATCAAATTTCTAGCACTTAATATGTCTATTTTTATGCAGAGGTCATGCCAAAAAAATCGGGTATTTCTAAACTTATGTATCTGCATCTTCTAGGGCATTGTTTTGTTTGTTGTTGATTGATATTGCGTTGTAGTAGATGTCTTCAAGTTTTTATAGGGATTCATACTAAGCGCTAGAGTTTGGGCGAAGCGGATAGTTCACTACTGGAATCAGGATCTTTGCCGTCAGCCAGCTCTTTGCCGTCTGCTAGCTGACGGCGAAGAAGGTCTTTGCCATCAGCTTATAGAAAGCTGACGGCAAAGAAAGAGCGAACGGCAAAGAGGGCGTTTGCCGTCAACCTGCTCTTTGTCGTCTGCTAGCTGACAGCATAGAGGCTTTGCCGTCAACCTGCTCTTTGTCGTCTGCTAGCTGACGGCGTAGAAGCTTTACCGTCTGCTAGCGGACGGCAAAGAGGGTGGGTGGCGGACAAACGAGAACGACCTAACGGCCACTTTCTTTTGCCGTATGCTAGCGGGCGGCAATGCTTCTTTGCCGTCAGCCAGCAGACGGCAAAGAAAATGGCCGTTTTAACGGTCGTTTCCCCCCGGCCCACCCCACTAGATAGGCTCGACAAAGAGCCTAGACCTAACTGAAAAGGGGCCGGTGCCCGCGCCCCA